GTCAGTAAGTGTGAGAACATGAATATGTGAGGAACAATACCTTGTGGGAAATGTAGTCCTGGGCAGGAGAAGGAAGGGATTTAAAGTGATTCTAAAAGGCAGAATTTTTTTTTTTACATGCTATAGGGGCACTCTATACTAGGGATGCAACGATACCAAGTATTTTCAGGAGTACTCATACTCATAAAAATAGTCCCGATACCTTAACCGATACTTTGCGGTGCGATTTACATTAATGGATGCCAACTGCACCGCAAATATTAGCATGCGATTTGAACAGGAATTCCATTCCTGTCCAATTCACATGCAGATTCCCCACTGCTCCTGTGTCATAAAGGAGCTTTGTGCGAAACCTCCCTGCAGGCATCCCATGCTGAGTCTTCCTGGAAGAAAAGAGAAAGCAGCGGGGATTTGAAATCCCTGCCGCTTTCTATCCTCTCCTTGCAGAAATGACAGTTCAGGCTAGACAGCATCTAAGTCAGCACCATCCATTCTGCCACAATTGGCATCCAAAAAGAAGCAGGTGTTTCTTTTGGGGCAAGAAGATTCTCGCAATTGCTGCATGATTTTGCAGAGCATTTTGAGATCGCAGGCAGAATCACGGCGATTTTGCCCACAATACAAACACCCAGATGTGAATGGAGACTCAGCCTTAGGTACTACTTACTACATGCTGCTACTAAATGTCTCATGCTGGCCATACACGTATCAATTTTGGACAAATATATTTGCACATATATTCATATGAAAGTTCTTTGTACAGTCAATGAATGGACATTTGTCATTTGCAAACATCACTTGCTTTTAACATTCAATTTTAAAATGAATGTAATTTCTGAAGGAAAACCACAAACACTATCCGAAAATTTGTTTGACCGAGAAAAGTCTTCTATTCTGCTCCTTCGAATTTTCCCTTCACTGTGGTGAAAAACAAACATGGGTTTAACCCCACTAATGATTAGAAAATGGAAGGAACATTCTTAAAATAAAAAAATTCCTACATAAAAATGTGTTCTTGTATGGCCAGCATAAGTGACAACAGGCACAGGTAGCTTGTATCCAGCTACCTGCCTATGACATGGGAGTGTGTCATGCATAACAATATATGACAATTCTGTCTGAAAACCTGCAAAACTATTTTTTTTTTTAATTGAATAAAACTTTTGATCTCTGAGTCTGATGATATGTACCAGTTTCGACCTCTAATGGTATATACATCTCTTCTGTCTGTTATTCTCAGAGTGGAATAGATACTTTGTTCCCTAACAAAATATCTGGTTGTTTATATTTACCAGTGCATATAGATATTCAAGAATAATTTGCCTTTTTTACATAACTAAATTATACACCAAACTTTTGTTTTGATATTTTCATCTGAATAATTGAAACAATCATAGATTATTAAAATAATCATTAGTTGCAACCATAAACTTCACCCAAAAGGGAAAATACTACTTGTTTTCCTCCTCCCACTCCACGGCCACATTTGATACTTTTTCCAGGGGAGCGAGTACCTGGTTTTGACTGGTACAAGCTCCCACTTCCGGTTAGATGTGCCATGGCAATTCAAGCCAAAGCTTCGGCTCCCCTTCCTCCTCCTCCAGCTTTCTTGGACAGTTCACAGCTCCCAGAAGACTGCGGGACCATTCACAAAGAGCAGCACGCTTTGTGCATGCGCAGTAGCAAACCAGATATGAAGCCGCAAAGCTTCACTTCCAGTTCCCCTTACTGAAGCACCTGCACCCTCAGCTGATAGAAGAATCGGCTTGGGTGAGGATAATCACTGAATCCCTCGACAGGTAGGTAACCTCATATTAAAAATCAGCAGCTACAATATTTGTGAGGGGAGCCTGGAGCTCCGCTTTAAGGTTCCATTCATACTCCCGCCCACGAAAAAAAAAAATGTAGGAAACTGCAATGTTACAATGACACATTGAAAACATTAGTCTTGTATGTGTCATGACCATACCAGAATGCTTTGTTTCTCTTGCATTGCAGAAATGTGCATTTGTATGCAACATGCTTGCATAACATTGCACTGCAAAGCACAGAAATGCATGTAAACGCATCAAAATGCATCACAACGCAATGAAGCTGTCTCCCACAACAATAGGTAAGAGGAAACATGTTTTTTGAGGGCCTGTTCACACCACATGCAGGCCGGTGCTTTTTTCTACATCAAATGCATGGATGGAAGGTTATATGGTTTCCAATGGCATAGTTCACACAAGTACAATCAGTTCCAGTTCAAGAAACAAAAACGTAGAACATGCTGCATTTTTTTGCACTGAACTGTACTGGAACGCAGTACAGTAAAAATCAGTGATTGCACTGTAGTTTTACTGCCCCTCAACCACCATACTGCAAGGTAAAGTGCTCAACAGGCATGTTAGTATACACTGCTGCAGGGCAAAATTTATACAACAGGTTGTGTTTGGACCGCAGTACAGTAAAAATTGGTGACTGAACTGTGGTTTTAATGCCCCTCAACCACCAAACTGCAAGGTAAACAGGCATGTTCATATACACTGCTGCAGTTGCTGCATGGCGAAGTTTATACAACAGGTTGCGTTTGGCAGGCAGTACTGCTGCCAAACGCAACCTGCTCAAGTGAATAGGTCCATTCTGCCAAATTGAGTGGTTGCCAGGTATTTAGCACTACTGCTGCAATGGATAAAAGGTACTTGTAGTTCATTCATTCACAGAATTCTGTGAATGAATGGTGTGGCTGTGTGGGCATGGCCGCCCTGTATTTGAATTGTAACAGCGGGTATAGGGAGAAGATCCCCTGCCAACTGTCATAATGGGGGTCTGCAGCCACCAGGATTGTATATTAGGCCCCATGTACATGGTACACTTCTGAACGATGGAAACTGAGTGCTGGAAAATGTAGGTTAAAAAACGTCTGTTTAGCCGCGTTTGCATAACACGTTTATGTGAGTTTATGTGTGTTTGCATTTAGAAGTGTTTTTTTAAAGATAAGCACAACCTCCCTATTGCCTAGAATGCACTGAAAAGTGGTAAATTATTAACTATTTCAGAGAAATACAGAGAGTAGAAGCAGACACAGCAGTAAGCATTGAAATTAGCTTAGGTGTGAGTTGCTCATTAACATTTCTTTTGTTTCCAAGGGTGGGAAGGTGCCTGCTGGAGTGAGTCATTAAGGTCACCTGGCAGGGGGTCTTCATGAGGAATTTGAGGTGTGAATGGTCATTAACATATCTTTTGTTTCCAAGGGTGGGAGAGGTCTGCAGTGTGAACTGGTCATTACAATGTGTGACAAGCTTGGTAGGAACATCCTGTTTTCAGTGTTTTGTCCATCTGAGTACCTTGAAAACGCTTTGCATGCATTTTTCACGATGATGAAAAAAGGCTCTGGACAGCATCGGGAACTGGAAGAGTTAAAAAAAATTTCAGACGCGAATGCTTATAAAAGCGATTTGCCGCAATTACAAGTGTTTTGCGTTTGAAATGCTGATAAAATCGACTGCTGAACGTAAGTTTTCTGCGTTTAAAAAAAATGACGGTAAACTCAAATGCCTGTAAACGACTGTAAACGAAGATGTGTACATGGACACATAGGAAAACATTAGGGAGAGTTCAGGGGCTGCTGAAAACAAAACGCTGAACAGCTCCTAAACGTGAGTTTAGCAGATGCAGTGTACATGAGCCCTAAAACTGACAGGCAGACTCCTGGCTGCCGCCCGACTGCTTCCACAACCCCCAGAACCTGTGCTCCCCCAAAAATGTGATCTGCATTGCAATACATCAAGTGGAGCCCAGAGGAGACATGCGGGGTCTTTTAGACCTTGCATGTCTCAAAGAGAACCTGTCACCTAAAAATCATCATATAGAGGACTTTGTGTCCCCAATGTGATGAGAAATTTTTTTTTTTGAGTTACACTGAAGTACATAACATCCCCCACCCAAGAAAGTTTGAGCCCCCCCCATCCCAACCCCCACATACGAACATAACGCACACGTTACGGCGCCTACATGTGAAAATGCCAATTGCTATAAATATGTTACATATCGCCGCACATGCCGGAGAGCAAAATTTCTAGCACAAGAACTCCTCTGTATCGCTAAACCGATGACCTATAGGGGCTTTTGAAGTGTCGCCTATAGAAAATATAGGGTGCTGAAATTTGTTTTGCACCCCTGTTCTAGAGGCTATTAGCATTTTTTCTGCTCCTAGAAACTAAACAGTGTTATCCTATGTGTCCATGCACACTACTTTAGGCTATTAGCATTTTCAGCTACAGCTTCTAGGAGCAAAAAAAAAAAAAAAAAGTGTTTTTGGACCGTTTTTCCAGCAGAAAAAAAAATGCTAAACTCTACTAACAGCTTTTTTCTAGCTTTTTCTGTTTTTTTTTTTTTCTACTTTTTTTTTTTCTACATGTACTGTAAAAACGCTAACGCTCCTAAAAGCTACTAACAAAATGCTGTTACCAACTTTTTTATCCAGCATTTTATTGAGTTTAAAAAAAACAAACAAAACACTAGTGTGCATAGAGGCTTTAGCTGGTCACACACAGCTGAAATTACATTAGATTCCTGCTGGATAAGCCACAATGTACGTTTATGGCCCTGCTGGCACCATTCCATTCAATATTTCAGCCTGTTGGATAACAGAATCAGATGCAGACACTGTTCATGTATTCTGATAGCTCAGCGGAGGGGTGGATTCATCCAGTCATGTTGTTAGTTTGGATAGAGGAATCTGTTCAGGCTGAACAAAAGAAATGATACATGTATGGCCATCTGTAGCGTAAAAAAAAGAAAATCAATATCCACACTATTGCACTGAGCCACATATCGGGTTGCCACCTCATCCCTTTAAAACTGAACACATTAACCATTTTAGTGCTGCCCCATAGCAGAAATACTGCTACAGGGCGGCAGCGGTGAGCAAAATCACGTATATATACACATGATTTTGCGTTTCCAGGTAGGGGCGCGCATGGTCTCGGCTGGCAATCACTGGGTCCAGGCAGGCGATTATTTGCTGGTGCCCGGTTACTGCTGAGAATCTCAGGAGGGGAGAACGATTTGTAAACAAAACAGTTCTCTCCCTTGCCAGCTCCTGCGCACTGCTTTGCATGGCTGTGCACAGCACAGCCATGCAAAGCAGCGTGCTTACAGTGAAGCACCAACACACCGCCCCTAGTAAAACAGCACACTGTTAACCCTTTGATCGCTCCACATGTTATGTTTATTATTATTATTATTATACAAAATTTATATAACGCCAACGCTTTTGCTCAGCGCTTTACATTGTAGTGGGAGACAATACAGTAACAATACAGTTCAATACAAGAGGGAATTGAGGGCCCTGCTCCTTGGAGCTTACAATCTAGGACATGTTAACCCCTTCCTGCCCAGTGCCATTAGTACAGTGTCAGTGATTTTGATTAGCACTGATCACTGTATTGGTGTCACTGGGGATGTCAGTGACACAAAGTCAGTTCCCCCCCAGTGTCAGAATGTCCGCCACAGTTCTGCTATAAGTCGCTGATCGCCGCCGTTACTAGTAAAAGTTAAAAAAAAAAAAAAAAGCCCAGTATATATACCGCCATTTGTAGACGCTATAACTTTCACGTAAACCAATTTATTTTTTCAGCAAAGACATGTATCAGGATACATTTTGGCCTAAATTTATGATGAAATTTTATTGTTTTAATTTTTTTACTGGACTTGTTTGTTTAATAGCACAAAAACTAAAAAATATTTTTTTTCTCAAAATTGTCTTTTTTTTTAACAGCACAAAAAATACAAAACGCACAGGCGATCAAATACCACCGAAAGAAAGCTCTATTCGTGGGAAAAAAAAAAGGACTTAAATTTGGGTGCAGCGTTGCATGACTGCGCAATTGTCCGTTAAATTAATACAGAGCTGTAACTCAAACAATGGCCTGGTCAGGAAGGGGGGTAAATCTTCAGGAGGGTAAGTGGTTAATTACACAGGTTCTGGGGCTGATAAAGGTGGGAACTAAACTCAGTGCCTTATCTGCATGAAATCAGCCCCAGAACCTGTATAGTTAATATGTGTTCAGGATTAAAGGGGATGAGGTGGCAACCCTAGGCACATGCTGTACCTCTCTATAGAAGTCCATGGTAGCTGCACTCCTCTGGTGTTTGCTGCGTTGTATTAATAGGGTGGGGCAGGATGAAGTTATTTCTCTTCCAAATACAGCATTTCCTCTGAAGATTGCTGCTAGGGGGGCTCCTATTCACATCAATAGGACAGGGTGCCCCCACTGCTAGTGCCATGATTCCCCAGAAACAACAACATTCCCCTGGCCCTCCTTCCTCCCATCACAGCCCCCACTCTTCCTGCCTGAGAGGCTGCCCATTGCTCTCCTTTGCTGGGATTCTTCTCTATCAATGTAAGTCGGTGATGGTCGTCCTTACCAGTGTAGGTTGCTGTGGTGCTGTGTGTCCCTGGACTGGGGCTCAGCTGTGTGTACAGACGATGGAGGAGTGGAACACCCACCGACCTTGTGATCACTTGTTACAACTAGGAAGTAAGCAGTCACAGGCTGCCGTTAAAGTTGCAGGGTGAGTTCTGTTCCTGTGCTTGTCACTCGTTTCGTCAGCTGCTGACTGAACCTACAGGAACTGTGTGTTTCCAAGCACAGAACAATGAAAGCCTCCAGTCCATCAAAACAAAGCGGTTATAAAGATGTACAACAATACAAAGTGTGTATTTGTTGTATAGAAGCCTGCAGAGCATTGCAACTGTGATCGGTGGGGGGGATTTACTAAAACCGCTGCATGGTAACCAATCAGCTTCTAAGGCTGGCCACACATTATACAATTTTCTTTCGAAAATTGCTTTAGATTTACCAAAAACCATATAATATGAGGTCACATCTAAACAACACTTTCAATTGTATCTAGTTAGAAGGGCCCTTGCAATACACAGTTGAAGGTGAATCTAAAGAAAATTGGACAGAAAATTGTATAGTGTATGGCCAGCCTTAGGCTTGGTTCACATATGTGCAGGTGGTGCAGCTACAGATACACACGAAAATCAGTACAGCCACACCACCCGCACAGAAGAATGCGGACACGTGGGCAGGTGCCATTGATTCTAATGGTACGCCGTCCACACTGGAAAACGCAATCGTACTGGGAACTGTTTTCAGAAGAAGTGCAGGGACTTGTTCCCTGCATGTCACGGAGCACGGGAGTCTATTCAAATGAATGGGCTCTCATGCCCGCGCAAAACGCAGCCCGCACATATGTGAACCAGGGGTGACATCTGCTTGTTCATTTAACCACTTGCCCTCCAGAGGATTTACCCTAGGTTCACATCTGTGCGGGTGGTGGTGCTGCTGCGGATCCTCACGAAAATCCGTGCAACCACACCACTCTGCACAGAGGAATGAGGACCCGCGGGTGGGTGTCATTAGTTCTAATGGCATGCTGCCCGCACTGGAAAACGCAACCATACTGGGAACCGAGGTTCCTGTGTGGACTGCGTTTTCCAAAGAAGTGCAGGGACTTCTTCCTTGCATGTCATTGGCACTGGAGTCCATTCAAATGAATGGGCTCTCGTGCCCGCGCAAAACGTGGCCCACACGCCCACATATATGTGAACCAGGGGGGACATCTGCTTGTTCATTTAACCACGTACCCTCCAGAGGATTTACCCTAGGTTCACATATGTGCTGGTGGTGCTGCTGTGGATCCGCACGAAAATCCATGCAACCGCACAGAGGAATGAGGACCCGCGGGTGTTTGCCATTAGTTCTAATGGCACGCTGCCCGTACTGGAAAACACAACTGTACTGAGAACCCAGGTTCCGGTGCGGGCTGTGTTTTCCAAAAGAAATGCAGGGACTTCTTCCCTGTGTGTCACGGAGCACGGGAGTCTATTCAAATGAATGGGCTCTCGTGCCCGCGCAAAATGCGGCCCGCACACCCACATATATGTGAACCAGGGGTGACATCTGCTTGTTCATTTAACCTCTTGCCCTCCAGAGGATTTACCCTAGGTTCACATCTGTGCGGGTGGTGCTGCTGTGGACCCTCACAAAAATCCGTGCAGCCACACCACCCGCACAGAGGAATGAGGACCCGTGGGTGCCATTAGTTCTAATGGCACGCCGCCCGCACTGGAAAACACAACCATACTGGGAACCGAGGTTCCCGTGTGGGCTGCGTTTTCCAAAGAAATACAGGGACTTCTTCCCTGCGTGCCACGGGCACGGGAGTCCATTCAAATGAATACTAAGTGGAGAGAGGATTCTGCACTGAGGGGGGACTATACTTATTGTGGGAGGGGTGACACCATGTTTTACAGCACCAGGTGATGCCAACTCTAGTGACGCAACTGAGATGTTGTCACCAGGGGCGGACTGACAACTCATGGGGCAATAGGGGATCATGGAGCCCCTGTGTCCTTGCCCAAACTCAAAAAAGCCTATGAAAAAGGTACCAGGGGCATCTCATGGGGCCCCCTACTGACCCCGGGCCCTCGGGCACTGCCCGAGTTTCCAAATGGTCAGTCCGCCCCTGGTTGTCACTGTATTTGTGCTCCACAGCAATCTACAGGTCCCTGCCATGGTGGATGAAGGGACTTGTCTTTCCATTCACAGATCTCTGTTAAACACACAGCAGTTGAGGTAAGGGGTAGGGTGGTATGTTTGGCAAATACAAGCATGTTTCAGGTTACACCCTGAGGCCAGTTGCACACAGGTGTAATCATTTACTGGTTTTTATACTCAGGATATTGTTGACAGAATGATAGTGAGTGAAATGTTCAGTAAAGACCTTGTGTAAACATGCGTATAGGCGAGTAAAGGTGCTTAAGCTTATAGACAAGTCCAATTCTTCATCATTGCCAGTGTTGTAATATACTCACGTAAACATGCTTACAGAAACGTACACATGTGTATGCATGTAAATTACTGCACTCAAATGTAAAATGTTTCGATTTTTGGGTTAAGGCTCTGTACTCATCGCTAGACATGTTCATGCCAGAAATTTTTATTTAATTTCTGATGCATTTGTTCATGCAGAATTTCATTTTGTCATATTCATTATGTTGAACCAAATCGTTTTCAGAATTCATTTTGTAGCTTCGGCATTCATTTTGTATATTCTTTGGGCTGAGTGGATTCAACAAATGTTTCAGTTTTTCCAGAAGATTGCTATATATTTGATATATTATTGAATCAGATGGATTTGGATCAGAAGAATCCGATATTTTCTGACGCTAGTCCAACCAACCAAGAAAAGTGGCATGAGCTGATTGGACAATATCGGCTGGTGTTGTGTGCACCTGAAGTAAGGAAAAGTAACTGTTGCATCTTGTTATGTCATCTGAATAAAACAAATGCATTCATTAATTTCGTTATAACTTTTTTACAGATTTGTTGACATTCATTACTATGTCCATTTGAAGATTCATATATATTTTCAGCCAAAAAATTAATCAAAACAAAACACACATTTACTCATCACTGTATTACTCAGCTGTGTCCATTGTTCCATAGACAACAATGCATCTCATTTCAAATCAGTAAAAAAATTTGGTGTTTTTTACTCCCGTGTGCATGAGGCCTAAATGTGGGAAAGGCCCCTTTCACACGGTGGGTTCTGATCAGGACTGCCTGTCAGTTTTTCAGGCAGACCTGATTGCATGGTCCATTTGACCCTATGTGCAGGCAGGTTTAAACAATCTTGTGTCCATTTACACCCACCTAACTCCAAGTCCAATACCGCCTGCTAAAAAAACAAAAGGAGATCCATCCTTTTCTGTTTAAATAGAGCAGATCAGAGGTACCCAGTTATAAACGAATAGCAGAGTCCATTTATTTCTGGCCACCACCCATAGAGCAGAGTGGACACAGATGTGTCATCTACCTGCTCTGCTCTGATCAGTAGTGGTCCCCTACTGATTGGGATGGAATCAGCCCCATGTAAAAGGAGCCTAACAGAAAACCTAGTTCAGGAGGTGATTTAAGCTATTAACCGTATGCCGCCCAGCCACTGTACATATACGGCGGCAGGGCGGCACTGACAGGCAAAACCACGTTTTTAAAATGCGTGTTTTGTAAACAAATAGGGGGCGCGCGTGAGGCGCGCCGCCGCCCTATTTGTCCCGCGGATCACCGCCGCAGATGTCAGTCGCCGGGTCACAGCCGCTCCTTAGCGGCTATGTCCCGGCGATCGGCAGCAAACAGTGACAGACAGCACAGCTGCAGTAGCTGTGCTGTCTGTCACTTCCCTGTCAGCTCGAGGATGAGCTGATTGAGAAAGAAGAGTTTCTCTTTCTCGATCAGCCTTGTCCCGCCCAGTACACACCCCCGCCCCCTAGTAAAACACTCCCCTCACTCCTATAACCCTTCCCTGCAAAATAAAGTTAACCCCTTCCTCCCCATTGCCATTAGTACAGTGTCAGTTTTTTTTTTTTTTTGCACTGATCACTGTATTAGTGTTTTTGGGGATGTCAGTGACCCTGTCAGTACCCCCCAATGTCAGAATGTCCGCCGCAGTCCCACCATA